GGGGGGTGGGGAGGTCAAAGAGCCTGCCATTGAGTCCTGTCAGAAATAGTCCTTGTTCCCCTTACTATGGGAAACCAGTTGGTTACTGAGCTACCACGGGCTACATCCACGCAGAGGTTCTAGGTTATATCCATACATGGTCCTTGGTGGAGTGTCAGTCTCAGAAAAGACCCCTGTGCCCAGATATATTTGGTCCTTGTGGAGCTCCTATTCTTTCCACGTCATACTAACTCCCCTTCTTTCTTATGATTCCCTGTACTCTGCCGAAGGTTTGGTTATGAGTCTTAGTATCTGCTTTGAAACACTGCTAGGTAGAGTCTTTCAGATGCCTTCTGCAGTAGACTCCTGTCATACGTTCAATGCACATCCTATTTGTCTTTCTAAGTGAGGATTGATCATCTTACCCCTGGTCCTCTTTCTTGTTTATCTTCTTTAGGTGTATAGATTTCATTATGTTTATCATATCTTGTAGGCCTATATAAGTGAGTATATACCATGTGTGTCTTTCTCCTAGGATACCTCACTCAGAATGATCTTTTCTAGATCCCACCATTTGCCTGAAAATTTCATGATTTTCTCCTTTTTGATTGGTGAGTAGTATTCCATTGTGTAAAAGTACCACAATTTTTGTATCCATTCCTCCATTGATGGACATCTGGGTTGTTTCCAGGTTCTGGCTATTACAAATAAAGCTGCTACAAACATGGTTGAGCAAATGTCCTTGTTGTGTACTTGAGCCAATTTTGAGTATATACCTAGCAGTGGTATAGCTGGGTCTTGAGGAAGCACTATTCCTAATTGTCTGAGAAAGCGCCAAATTGACTTCCAAAGTGGTTGTACCAGTTTACATTCCTACCAGCAATGGAGGAGGGTTCCCCTTTCTCCACAACCTTTCCAGCATGTGTTGTCACTTGAGTTTTTCATCTTGGCCATTCTGATGGGTGTAAGGTGAAATCTCAGGGTCATTTTGATTTGCATTTCCCTAAATGGCTAATGAGGTTGAGCATATCTTTAAGTGTTTCTCTGCCATTCAATATTCCTCTATCGAGAATTCTCTGTTTAGCTCTGTTCCCCATTTTTTAATTGGATTACTTGGTTTGTTGCTTTTCAGCTTCTTTAGTTCTTTATATATACTGGATATTAGTCCTCTGTCAGATAAAGGATTGGTGAAGATTCTTTCCCAATTTGTAGGCATTCGTTTTGTTTTGATGATGGTGTCCTTTGCTTTACAGAAGCTTTTCAGTTTCATGAGGTCCCATTTATTGATTGTTGCTCTTAGAGCCTGTGCTGATGGTGTTCTGTTCAGGAAGTTGTCTCCTGAGCCAATGAGTTCCAGGAATTATCTAATTCATGTAATCATATACTCTCAATCACCATCTAATCATATTATCTAACTTTAGTATTTTCATCACCTAGAAGACTCTGAACCCAACAGTTATTACGCTACTTGACTTCAAGCCCTGTGCCTTGGCAACATTAATCTGGGTTTTTTTCCCTGTGTTGATTTGCCTATTTTGAACATTATGGAATTACATGATACATAGCCTTTTATGTCTGGTGTTTTGCCTAAGCATGTTTTTTGTTTGTTTGTTTGTTTGTTTGTTTGTTTGTTTGTTTTAGGATTTCCCCATGTTACAGTGTGTCTTACTTAGTTTCTATGGCTGCAACGAAACACCATGACCAAAAAGCAAGTTGAGGAGGAAAGGGTTTATTTGGCTTACACTTCCAGACCATTGTTACCATCTAAGGAAGTCAGGACAAGGAACTCTAACAGGCCAGGAACCTGAAGGCAGAAGCTGAGAAGTCATAGAAGAGTGCTGCTTACTGACTTGCTCAGCCTGCTTTCTTATAGAATCTAGGACCACTAGCCCAAGGATGGGACCACCCACCATGGGCTGGACCCTCCCCCATCAATAACTAAGAAGATGTCTTACAGCAGGATCTTATGGCAGCACTTCTCAATTAGGGTTCTCTCCTTTCAGATAACTCTAGTCTGTGTGTCAAATTGACATAAGACTAGCCAGGACACAGTGTGTACTTTATTTCTTTTATAGTTGAAGTGATAGCTTACAGTTGTTAAGCCGGTCGGTGCTCACCATTTGGTAGATATTTGAGTTCCATTTTGGGTTATTATGCGTAATATTGCTAAAAACATTCATGTCTTAACTTTTGTTTTTGGTTTATTCTCATCCAGTTGGACCATTTATAATTTTTTAAGATTTATTTTTATTAAATTTATTAATTTTATGTGATTTTTCTTTATGTTCATATGTGTATCTCAAGAGTGCTTGATGTCTGTGGAGGTCAGAAGAGGGCATTGCTCCTCTGAAACTGGAGTTACAGATAGTTATGAATCATCATGTGGGTGCTGGAAATTAAACCCGGGCCCTCTGCAAGAGCAGTAAATGCTCTTTATCACTTAGCTATTTCTCCAGACCCCCATTCATAAGGTTTTAATTTCAAATATTATATCTTTAAGTTACAAGATTTCTAATAAGGTTTCCCCCATTACTTTTGGTGTAATTTATTACAGTGGGATCTTGTTTCATAGCTTCTTTTTCTTTGTTGAAGGTGTAGATATTTATTTTAAAATGTCTCATTATTAACTTCTCAAGTACAAGTGTTGTTGTTTGCTGTGTTATACTTTTGATGGTATCAAGTTTTGTTGTTTGGTAATTTAGAGTTAATCACCCATGATCTGTTTAGCTTAAATATACCCCATGTTGACAACTGGTAGGTCAGAGGTTCTCAGGGTTACTGACCCCTAGCTTTGCATGCTTGAATGGTGTATGTCTTGGATCGTACTTTACCTGGGTAGTGAGATAGATGCAAAGTTCCTGCACGGTAGTAAATTATATAGTTCTGAGTCCTGTGGCTGCTTGCATAACACAACTAAGGCCTTTGTCACACAGCAGTGATGTGGCTACCAGCTTTCCTTTGCTCTAGCCATCCCTCAAGTGAGCAGGGAGTGTTGATTCATGCCCTGGTATAGGTGTGGAGTTCAGACGGCAAGTTGGAGGAGTCCATGTTCATTTTCCACCATGTGGAACTGGGGATTGAACTCAGTCGTCAGGTTTAGCAGCAAATAGGCCTGTTTCTTTTTGTTTTCCATTCTGGACTAATACATTCCTTTTCCTTTTTTCCCCACCGTGAGTGTGTCTTTATTAAATTTAAAAACAATTGTTCTATAGTGTATGTTTGAACATGAAATTTTAACATAGGTTCAATTTATCTTGAAATAATGTTTCTGATTCTTTCACCTTTATATATTTAACTCTGGCCGTTCTATCTAAATCTTGTTTGCTTGCTCATTTCTTTTTTGGTGTGTAGAATGAGATGGTTTGAGTAAACTTTACATCTTTTGTTTGTTTGTTTTTTGAGACAGGGTTTTCTCTGTGAAGCCTTGGCTGTCTTAGAACTCCCTCTGTAGACCAGATTGGCCTTGAACTCATAGAGATCTTTCTGCCTCTACCTCCCAAGTGCTGGGACTATAGGTATGCACCACCACCACCGCCTGATTTGGAATAGACTATTTTTAAAGTATAGAATTAATGTTTAACACAATTTACTTTAAATGGTTATTAAGATTATCCTAAAGAATTCAGAGACAATCACAACCCCCTTTTTCATGCAATGATGTTCTCTTCATTTTTGTACTGTCATTAATTTAGACAGCTGTTCCTTATTTCACAGAAAAGTGACTGAATCAGAAAAGAGAGGTTTCTCTAAGTAAGGCAGTCAGTCAATGGTAAACTAAAGACAGGTGCAGAGTATCCGGGTTCAGTGGCAAGGTCAGTGAGCCTCAGTGCAGCGTGACCTCGCTGCCATTTTATTTGGGGCTCTGTGGGCCGAATTACATTTGAAGAACACAATGATGAAAAAATGTTACTCATTAAGATGAATGTCTAGACTTTTATCTTGAGAAAACCCATACTTTTTTTTAATCGTTAAAGCACTATTATTTTAAGGTGTATTTATTGCTATTAAGTTCTTGAAGTTGAATTAACTTGTTATTGTGGCTTTGTTCTTTACTGTCTCTGCAGGGGTTGTTTTATAAAATGTGAAGGTTTTTTTGATTTTTTGTAATTTGGGTACAGAAAATAGAGAAGAAAGATGGGGCATACTTTGATGTTTTCTTTCTTGTGGATAATCTGTGCCCCTCCCAGATGCTTTGTGGAAAGCTAGCTCTGAGTCAACGCATACAAAATACCAAGCAGTTCATTCTTAAATTAAAATTGGTGAGAATTTGAACTTGTTAAGGGCTGCAATGTTTTATTTTTTAATTAATTATAATTTATTCATTTTGTATCCCAGCTGTAGCCCCCTCTCTTGTCCCCTCCCAATCCCACTCTTCCTCCCTTTTCTCCTCCCATGCCCCTCCCCAAGTCCACTGATAAGGAAGGTCCTCCTCCCCTTCCATCTGACCCTAGCCTATTAGGTCTCATCAGGACTGGCTGCATTGTCTTCCTCTGTGGCCTAGTAAGGCTGCTTCCCCCTTAGAAGGTGGTGTTCAAAGAGCCAGCAACTGAGTTCATGTCAGAGACAGCCCCTGTTCCCCACTTGGGAACCCACTTGGACACTGAGCTGCCATGGGGTACATCTGTGCAAGGAAGTTAAAAGGGCTACAATATTTTAAAAAGCATATGCCTGAAGAGTTGTTTTTGAACTTGTCAGTTTTCAGCTCTAAATTATTCCCTTAAAGGACTTGTGTTTATTAAGTAATGAACCAATTTGTTGGAAAATGCAGGATTATCAGCTAGAATGTCTGGCATAGGACCTGACTGGAAACTGAAATTTCAGATTGGTTTAACAAATCTAAAGAATTAAAAACATGAGATTAGGTATCTTTCCTCCAGAAAGTAATTCTAAAAATTAAAACAATTTGCTGACTTGTAACCGGTTTCCTTATTTTATGTTTTGCAGGTAATCTTTCATCAGGTAAAGGCTTTCTTCTTGGCTCCTGTCTCCGTTCTGACTTGTTGGCATTTCTTCTCATATAGAAACACATCCTGTGCTGCCCGGGTTCTCTCCAAGGCTGACTCTGGCTTCAGAGGAGGGGAGCCATTCTCAAGACACATCAGATGTAGCACCCTGCCAGATGTTTTTTGAGGCAAGTTTGTTGGGGTTCTATACACTCTGGTCATTTGACTCCTGTTTTTACAGACAATTACAATTGCAGGAAAGAAAGCCTGGTTCCATCATAGTTTGAACATAAGTAAAAAAAAAAGAAATTGTGCAGACATTAGATGACCTAGGAGCTACCAAAGTGCTAGTGGCTGTGTTCTACCAAGAGGCTGATATTTAGTTGACCTAAGGGCTGCATTAGTCTAGGCTTCTGTACAAAATAGGTTGGACTAGGTGGCATAAGCAACAAAGGTTTATTTTCCCACAGTTCTAGAGGCTCGAAGTCCAAGATCAAGCTGCCATCTGGATCAGGTGTGATGGTTGCATCTGTAACACCTATACTTTTGAGGCTAAGGCACCAGGATCAACTGAGCACTGGAGACAGGATGGTGGACCTTCCAGTAGAATAAAAATTGATTCTGGAGTTAGTGAGATGATTCATGGATAAAGGCAATTTCCCACCACACCTGATGACTAGAGTTTGCTCCCTGAGTTCCACAATGTGGAAAGTGAGAACCAACTATATAAAATTATCCTCTGATCTCCATACATACGGTATTATGTGTACACACATGCATAATACAATAAATAAACGTAGTAATAAATTATTTTCAACACAGATCTCATTTGAACAAATTTTTATCCAGTTGGTTTATAGATATCTTTTTTTATAGATATATAGTCCAGATTTATGAGAATAATTGCCTGCTATGTTATCTTTAATGATTTTTCTGGTCCCCTATCTTTCCTTAGTTGAAAGTAATAGGAATCTAAAGAATTAGAATGATTTTAACATTCTTTCTGGGCCAGGTCTGGCAGCACACACTTGCAACCCCAGCACTTGGAAGGTGGAGACAGGAGGAGATCAGTTTAGATGAATCCTCAGCAACAAAGCAAGTTGTAGGCTGGATTGAGCTATATAAGAGCTAGTCTCAAAACAAACAAAACCCAAAGTCTTCCAGGAAGTGCTGGGAATTATCTCTCCATGTTTGAATAACTGCATATTCCTTTGGAAGGAATAGGCACAGTATCAGGCCAGCTGATTCCCTGGCTGTGCCTTATCTTCTTGAGGAAATGAAAGGTAAACAATCTAGAGCAATTAATGGTTAGTCAGCTCTGAAACTGCTGATGTCAAGAAGCAATAAAAAGGTGATTCCAGTGAACCGAGGAAAACAATGCTAAGAAATGAGAGCATGTGATTCAGCCAGTTGGAGCAAGTGATAACTCACATGACTAACATCCACAAATATTTAAGCCTCTGACACCTCTGTGAAGTGGATAGAATAAGGATTGTCACTCTACTTTACGGATAACAAAATTGAGATTCACAGAATTAGGCTGACTTCCCTAGTGTCATATGAAAGAGGAAGAATTAGAGCTTAATCTGTCTGATTCATATAGGTCAATGGTAGTTCAATATTTATTCATTTAGAAACCAATGTCTGTTCAAATTAGTCACACTGAGCTAGGTCTCATGGGTACACATTCATAGGATATGTTGTTTGATCCTAAGGAACTTGGAATATAAAAGAAAGATGCACATGTCAACAAGCATTACAAAACATTGCGATACATGCCACAATGAAGTAAACATTGAGTGCTGCCCTAGCACAGAGAAAGGACACCTAGCCCAACCAAAGGGCCCAGGTCCAGAGGCCTTGATGACACTGAAAAGTAGATTTTAATTTAGATCAGATAAACTCTAGAATAAGAAGTTATGACACTTAAAAGAATTAGATAGCAAAGCTTCTCACTTTTTTTCTATTGCAAAACTCTTTTCCTAAGAAAAATTTAAGTATGATTAAATCAAATATTTAGAATACATATTTAATATATAGAGTACATATAATTGGGTTTATCAAGGAAGCCACTGGTAATACATTTTGGTTTAAAGCAGTAGTTCTCAACTTGTGGGTCATGACCCCTGGGGATGTCAAGTGACCCTTTCACATGGGTTGCATATCAGATATCCTGCATATCAGATATTTACATTATTATTCACAACAGTAACAAAATTATAGTTATGAAATAACAATGAAAATAATATTTTGGTTGGAGGCCAACACAACATGAGAAACTATATATTAAAGGGTTGTAGCGTTAGGAAAATTGAGAAACACTGGTTTAAAGTTTTCAGAATCAGTTCTAAGATGTAACTGTGGAAATAGCTAAAAATGAGGGGAGTCATGGTGATTGAAGAGGACAGGGAGTTAAGACTAAATTGTTGCTTAACATGATCATCTTGACAGGCAAAACATTTTTGCTATGCTGGGAGTTGAACCCAGGGCCTCAAGCATGTTGGATGAGCAGTCTATCACTGAACTACCCTCCTAGCTGCTTGTCATGTACTTAGACTTGAAGTACAGAGGATCTCTGAGCTTAGTGACCAGGAGTAAGCCTGCTGGAGATGAGAGGTAAAAGAATAGTGTAGCCAGGTAGCATTAGCCTTAAAGGAGCAAGAACTGCCTTAAAGCATCATTTCCAATGCATCTCCTTGTCTCTAATATCATATAGCTATTTAAAAGATATTTAAATGAAGAAAGTACTAAATTTCATTGTAGGATTGTAGGGTTGTGTTGTCTGTGTGTGTAGGGTCAAGTAGCAAGATTAATAGCAAACATTAGTTGAGACAGGACTAATGAAAGGACTATACTAGATGATCTATTTACCTTGGTCATATGAAGAAAATTAATTTCTGGGAAATGCCTCATGTAAAAGAGATATAGTGACTTTGGTGTTTATATGATTCACTACATTAAGCTGGGTAACACACCCTTCCAAAGCAGTATGATTTCATAAACCTTAAGAAATTTATCCAGATGTCATATCCTATGCCCTTAATTCTAGTACTTGGGAGGCAAAGGCAGGAAGATCTCTGTGAGTTCAAGATCAGCCTCATCTAAATAGTGAGTTTTGGGACAGCCAGGACTATGAAGAGAGAACCAGTCTCAAAAAACAAACAAGAGCCAAAAAACAAAACACAACAAAACAAAAACACCTCTATCCAGTTTTATTCTGATTTTTGTAATAGTACTACTGAATGATAAGATGGATGGAGATGTACATACAAATATACAATGGAAAAAAGAAAGCATCTTCAATAAATGGTGCTGGTCAGACTGGATATCTGCATAGACAAGAAGGCAAATAGATCTATATCTATCACCCTATATAAAACTCAAGTCCAAGTGGATCAAAGATCTCAACGTAAAATTCAGATATACTAAACCTGATAGAAGAGAAAGTGGGGACTAGCCTTGAATTCATTGGCACAGAAGACAACTTCCTGAATAAAACACCAATAGTGCAAGCACTAAGAGCAACAATTAGTAAATGGGACCTCAAGAAACTGAAAAGCTTCTGTAAGGCAAAGAACACAATCAATAGGACAAAACAGCAGCTTACATAATGGGAAAAGATTTTCACCAAGTTCACATCTGACAGAGGGTAAATATCCAAAATATGTAAAGAACTCAAGAAACTAGACAACAACAAACCAAATAATCCAGTTTTAAAACGGGGTACAGATCTAAACAAAGAATTCTCAACAGAGGAATTTCAAATGGCTGAGGAATATTTAAAGAAATCTTCAACATCCTTAGCAGTCAGGAAAATGCAGAACTGCTTTGAGGTTCCATCTTACACCTGTGCAAATGGCTAAGATCAAAAACACAAGTAACAGCTCATGCTGGTGAGGGTGTGTAGCAAGGGGAACACATAACTATAACATCTATGCAGAGGGCCTAGGTCAGACCCATACAGGCTTCCTGACTGAGTCTCTCTGTGAGCGCCTATAAGCCCAGGTTAGTTGACTCTCTGGGCCATTTTCTTGTGGTGTCCTGATACCTCTGGCTCCTATAGTCCTTCCTCCCCTCTTTTGTGGGATTCCCTGAGCTCCACATAATTTTGGATGTGGGTCTCTGCATTTGCTCCCATCAATTGCTGGATGAAACTTCTCTGATAATGATTATGCAGTGAGCATTTGTAAGTAAAGCTGTTTGGACAGAAGAATATACTTTATGACACACTGCAATTTCCATGTCAATATTTTTTTTCATTTCAGGGGAAGTTACAAGGGTGGAGGGCAGATATGAAAGGACTTGGAAATGAGTGGGATTGTGGCACATGATGTAGAATTCACAAAGAATCAAAAAATGTGAAAAATACATGAACTTTTATATAAGGGAGGTTAGGGAAGGAAAAAGGAATGGGAAAGGAAATGGGGCTCAGAGGGGGTTAAGAATGGTAATGGGGATGACTAAGATTAAAATAAACCATGTATTTGTATAATGTCAGAGTGAAACCCATCATTATGCATAATTAATACATGCTCATAAACTTAAAAAAAATTTTAGTATATAATTAGCCATATCTTTTTCTTAAGTGTCTTATATAGCACAAACTGGCCTAAATTTTTAGGATCTTGATCTTCTGATCCTCTTGCCCTCATCTTCCCAGTGCTGGGATTACAGAAGTGTGCCACCATTTCAGCTAAACATGGTTTCTGTTCCCTAGGGCTCAAGTATCTGTTTTTCGTAATAGCCTAAGTAAGGCCACTGCTTCTGCAGATACGCCAGCCTGGGGTACTGGGTTTCTGACATACACACGTAAAAGGCTTTACTGTCTGTCCCTGTCTCTGGCAGGTGAAACCAGCAGGTATACTTCTTGTCTACCTTGGTTTCATTCCTCAATGGCCATCTGAATATAAGGAATTATATTTTTCATTTTCCCAAGCTGCTTCTCATAGTTCTACATCATGACCTTCAATTCACACATGAACTTAGGATAGCTCTACACAGCTTCCTTTCCTTCAGTGTCCATCAGGGCAATGTATTTATCCCCAGGCACGGGAATCTTCAGGGCATTAAACTTCTCTTCAAAGTCATCCACCAAGCTGTCCTTGGCCATGTTGGCTTTGTAGTAAGCCCAGCCATTCACCTGTGGTTTCTCAGAGTAGCCATCCTGCACTGGAGGGGTTCTGGGTTTTCAGGGAGTTTGCAGTGGTCTCTTTCGGTTTCAGGGTATGATCTCCCCAAAAGCTACCTAGTGTAGAGGGGCAATTTACTATTCTCTGCTGACCTAATGTAACTTGCTTGGTGCTTCTAGGCTTATTTAGGTGCATTACCTGTTTTACTTAGAATCTCATATCTAAATTATAAAACATTTTACATTGTCATATGAGTTACTTATTTCTCTATTGACCTATGAACCATTCTAATTTGTAAGTTGTTTTATTTATATAGATTCATATATGCAAATAAATTATATTAGTGTTTTGTGAGTGAATAAATAAATGTAATATTGAGTAGTCACATGTAAACATTGCTTGTCATTTTTCATTAAATAATGGCATATATATTGCTCTGTCCACATAACTAGCTACATTCACAGAAGAGGGACATTCTTAGACAATACTACATGACAGAGTATGGGCTTTGGAGGGAGTCAAATCAGGTTTGGATACCAATGCTACCATTTATCTATTTATTAATGTAGAGTTTCATGATCTTTATAAAATGGGAATATTCTTCATAAACTCTTGGCCTGTAGCATGTGCTGAAATAAATGGTAACTATCATCATTAATTATAATCTCTCAGATCTCTTTGGTGAACTTTCTTCACTTATTTAGTTTCTTTACTGTTAGATGCAATCATCCTGCTTTGTGATACACCCTGTAATTACCAAGATTACAGAGATTTGAAACTGTTTCAAGAACTAGTCTTTAAAGTGTCAAGCACAAAAAGTTATTTTAAAATATCATTGCTTGTCTACCATTTAAACCGTTCTAACTAACCATTTTTAAATGAAGGATATGACTATGATATGTAACTGCAGAACTGTGGTTTCTCTTTTACCTCTGCTTATAGGTATGAAAAATCCTAGTAGTTTTTAATAATCCCTTATCCATTTTTTTCTAGTAATTTGGTCAACTACTTTTCTTTACTTTTTCGAGAAGGTTTCTTTGTGTAGTCCTGGCTGTCCTGAAACTAGCTCTGTAGACTGGCCTCAGACTCACAGAGATCCACTTGGCTCTGCCTCCTGAGTGCTGGACTAAAGGTGTGCCCTCCCACTGCCTGACTCAGCTACTTTTCTAATAAAATTTCTAACAATCCCCACCTACCTCATGGAGCATGATCTCTTTTCCATTGGATTTATTAAAGTGCCATAAAGGTTTATCACTCTTGATCAGACCTATTCACATTTCTTTGTTGCCTTAGGAAATCCTGTAGTCTGAGAACACATTGCTCCCTAAAAATATACTAAGGTTACAAGATTCTGTCTTTTCTGAGCTGCCAACAAGAACTCCCTCTTCTATTGAGCTTTGCATTTTCTAGTTTAATTTCATACTGCATGTTCATTTCTCTGGACTTATTTTCTAGAAGACAGTTTCTATTTTCTAACATGTGACTCCATGTTAAATTTAGTGAGTTAATACATGGAGATCATTAAGCACTTAAAGGTTTGGATTCAAACTCACCTAACATTGAGTAAGTTGTTCAACCTCCTTGAATTTTGTTTTTAATTTATAAAATGTGGACTCTATGATCCTGCTAAGATTTTTTGTGAAAACACTTGGTGAACCAGGGAGTGTTTTGAGGATTTACAGGAATATGAGTGAGGGGTTACTTACAGGAACATCACCAGAAGCCCACTCCAGCATGGATGACAGCTTGAAAAGCTGGGAACCTGGAGCTCACTGCACAGCCCTTGGGCAGCTCATATGGTTGGGAAGTATGCCTGGAAAGGCACCTCAGTTGTCTTAAACCTCTCCCAGGCTCGGCTAGTTTCTGTTTCATTCGAATTGCTTGTCTTGTCTGAGTGTGACTTTCAACAGTCTTTACTATTTATGGAATGTTTCCATTTCTGAGGGTACTGCCACACAGCACTTCACCCTTAAGTACAATCAGAGAGTTGGTTACATTACATATAATTTATACATATATATATGTATGCATGTATGTATATTCAGACCTTTTCCAGAGGACAAATGAGACAAGGCAACATCCTGAAGAACCAGCGCATAACAAATAGCTGGGTTACAAAGAAAACCTGGATGAATCACTCTGAAAGTCCTTTGTCACCTGCTCCTAGCAATCCCGAAGTTCACCAATAAGAAGATAATAAAGTCAAACATAAGCAAGGTCTAATACAGCATGGAAAGGTTCCATTCATTTGTGCCACTAGCTTCCTCCACAGGTCAAGGTTGGGTAGGATAGCATGGATAGGAGGCAGTAACTTAATTAGCTCTCTGTAATCCCTAGTTATTCTCTCTGAGCCATTATATTTCCATACCCTGAAGCTCTTCCACAGAGCATCCCTGTATTTTCCCACCCTTGCTGAACTCAGTGGACCTGACTCAGGCTTCTCAGCTCTAACCAAGGCCATGGCTCTGCTCACCTCTATTGCACTGGCTCTCTGAATCCAAGACTTGGCCCTTGGTTGGCATTGTAGCCATAGATACTGCCATTCACTACACCCTGCTGCTCAAACCATCTCCACCCCCTAATAACCCTTTGCTTTAGGAAAATGTAGCCTATGAAATGGAGGCCGGGGGTGGGGATAGTATAATTACCCACCCTTAGGACAGGCTGATTGTCTTCACCTGTTTAGTTCCAACATGGATACCTTTTGCTACCCACAGCAAAGACTATACATTCGTTCTTTCCCTACTCTGTCATGTCTATGTTTGGGCATCAGTTATATATCGGATTTTTCCTGGAAATATGCAACACAAAGAGAGACACCCCTACACCTTACTCACCCTAGACAAGGAATTCAGAACAGACCTAAGTCAGGATACCATGAAAATCCAACTTTGGTGACCTTTTGTGGCATAATATTTATTATTGACTTAGTTAAGCAGCGGTTATTCCTGCTGTATAACCAAATCACCACACAGAGACTAGGATTTATTTAATTAACCTAGAACACAATGCTGGGCAATAGTTACTCCATCCTAAACCTCCAAGCCCGCATAGTTTCTTACCATTCAGATTTCATTCATTATACTTGTTTTTAGTCGTATCTTAGGTCCAGTTCATTTCTCCATGTGCTTCCAAGTCTGCTCCTGCTGATTCTCCTCCTCTCCTCCCCTGTTTCCTTCCTCTTCTTCCCACTCCCGACCAGGATGTCCCACCCTATCCTTTCCATTGCTCAGCATTGTGGCTGGTTGTTTTAATTGACAATTTAGAGAACAAGTGGTGGCATGTTTACACAAACTTGAGATAGGTGATGCTTAGAATAAGCATCACAATACAATGTCCGATTGAAACCAGATAGTGGGGGAGAGAAATCAGCATTTGAATGAACAAGGGTAAACTGTATACAGTCCAAAGAATATTATACAAACAGTGAACCAAGGAGGGTTTTTTGTTTGTTTGTTTGTTTGTTTGTTTGTTTGTTTGTTTGGTTTTGGTTTGTTTTGTTTGGTTTGGTTTGGTTTGGTTTTTGTTTTTTTGAGACAGGGTTTCTCTGTGTAGCCTCGGCTGTCCTTGCTTTGTAGACCAGGCTGACTTCAAATTCACAGAGCTCTGCCTGCCTCTGCCTCTGCTGGGATCAAAGGCATGCTTCACCGTGCCGGCTGAGACAATGAGTTTTATTGGGGTTACTTACAGGATAAAACTGCTGTCACCAAGGCTTACCTCAGCATGGGTAACAGCTCACAAAAGCTAAAACCCTGGAGCTCCCTGCACAGCCTACAGGCAGTTCAGCTGGTTGGAGAGTGTCCTTACCAGTTGGCTCAATTATTCTAAGCCTAGCCCAGGCAGCTTGGCTCATTTCTCTTTCTTCCAGATGGCTGAGCCTGTCCAAGAGTGACTCTCAGCAGTCTTTACTGTTTATTCTTTGGGAGGAAGGGGTCTAGTACATCTGATCAGGCTGGCCTCAAACTCACAGACATCTCTCCCAAGTGTGCCACCACCGCCCAGCTGAAGTAGGTGTTCTATGTTCTTCTTCTTTTTTTTTTTTTTTTTTTTTAGCATTCTCCAAGTTATTTCCCCATGGATATCCCAAAATGGTCCTAAATATTCACTTTTATTGGAAGAAATGCCTACTTGTTTGCACTGTTGGGATTACAAGTTATATTTTCTTGTTACAGGTTGATGAGAATCCTCGAAGTTTGATGACAGACTGTCTGGTTATAAAGCATTTTTTACGAAAAATCATCATAGTTCATCACAAGGTTAAGTTGTTTGTTCTTTAAATGTTATCAACTTGTCTATGCTTTCTTTAAAACAATAACAAGAACCTCACTGAGTAGCCCTAGCTGGCCTCAAACTCATAGGTCTGCCTGCCCTTGTCGAGTATGGGCATGAAGGGTATGTGCCACTGTGCCAGGCTCACCCTGCTTTAATTTTGGTAGATCATGAGCTTTACAGTTTCTAATTTTGAGGGGAAAATATATATATATATATTAGATAAGACATAATGATTCTCTGGATTGCATACGCATCTGTTGTAATGGTTCCCTTTTCATCTCTAGTTGTATTAATTTACGTCTTTATGTTAGTTTGGCTAGGGCTTATCCATTTTGTTTATCTTTTTCTAAGAACTAAACAAACATTGTTTCCATGCAATTAATACCCACCCTGATTGTAAGTGACTTCTTTCCATCTGTTGACTTGGGGCTTGTTCTTTCTTGGAGCTCTAAGGCATGTGGTTAAGTCACTTGACATCGCTCCAATTTCTTTTTTATTTTTCTTGGTTTTTTGAGACAGGGTTTCTCTGTGTAGCCTTGGCTGTCCTGGACCCTCTTTGTAGACCAAGCTGGCCTCAAATTCACAGAGATCCACCTGTCTCTACCTCCTGCCGCCACCACCTGACCTCACTTCTATTTCTTGGAACTTTAAACTTCTTTCTTAGGACTGCATGCATCGTATCCAACACTTCTCAGTGTGTTGTGTTCATTTTCATTTGTCTCTAAGAATGCCTTTATTTCCATCTTGATTTCTTCAAGAACCATCATTCTGTAGTATGTTGTAGTCATGTTCTCTGTGTGTGTTCTAGAGTATTTCTTGATGTTAGTGTATAGTGTTAGTCTATTGTGATCATATAGAACACAAGGAATTATTTCAGTTTTTCTGCGTTTGTTAAGACTTTCTTTGTGTCCTAAGCTATGTTGTATTTTAGAGAAAGTTCCATCGGCTGCTCTGTATCCTGCAGTGTTCTGTTAAGTTCGTTTATCTGTGATGCCATTTCATTCAGATTATCTGTTTTTGTTGGGATTGCCTGTAAATTGGTGAAAGTATTAAAGGTACCCACAGCTACTGTGCTGGAGTTAATCTGTGACTTTACATTTAGGTATATTTGTTTTATGAAATTGTGTGCACCTGTATTTGGAGCATACAAGTTTAGAATTGTTATATTATCTTGACAGATTTTTTTCTTAGTCGGTGCCTCCTGTGTCTTTTCCCACTAGATTTTGTTTGAAGTCTGTTTTGTCAGATATTAGAACAGCAACAGCTGCTTGTTTCCTAGATTCATTTACCTGGATACCTTTTTTTGTCCTTGAACTTAAGGATGTAGTATCCATCTTTTGTGGTGAAATAAGTTTTTGGAGCCAACAAATAAATGGTTCCTAGTTTTTGGCCCAATCTACTAGTCCTTGCCTTGTGTGGGGAAACTGAGACCATTAATATTCAGGATTATTAATGAAAGGGATGTATTGATTCCTGCCCTTTTGTTAATTTTGTGGCATTTGCTTTTCCTATTCCTCTCTTAATTAACACTCAATTTGTGTGTGGTGTATTACTGTGTGTGTGTGTTCATCCTCATAATACTTTCTTCTTATTTTATCTTTGCCCTTGTTAAATTGTTCCAGTTTCTCCAGTTTATCTTCAAAAGCAGATATTTTGTTCTCTTCATGATTTTCTTTTATTCATGATTTTATTTGACTTACTATGTTTTTCCTCTCCAGTGCTTCAGCTTGTTTTTTGTTGTTGTTGTTGTTGTTCTGTTTTGTTTTGTTTCCTTCTTCTTCTGCTTCAGTGTTTCTGTTTGTGGAATTCCTCTTTTATATCATCCACTGGCCTTCCTTATTTCATACATCTTTTTGTGTCTTTGAACATTTATAATCATTCTTTTGAGTTCTGTCTGGGCTTTCACCTACCTCAATCTCCTTAGATAGAATTTCTATAGGATTAGTAATCTTGGAAGAGTTATATTGTCATAGTCATTTCTGTATCTTATGTTGCTACCCTGGGATTTACCATCTCGTGTTATTTTATTGCTTAGTTTATTTTCTTTAATCAGTTATATTACTTCAGTTAAAGTTTCACAATTTTCAAGTAGAACTTGGATGTGTTAGAGTTCAATGTATAGTTCAAAAAATAATTCTTCTTCAGGGTTGGGGATTTAGCTCAGTTTTAGAGTGCTTGCCTAGCAAGCACAAGGCCCTGGGTTCGGTCCTCAGCCTGGTGGGGGGGGGGGGAATAATTCTTCAATCTAGGAGCGCAGGGTGCCTGGCATAAGTTCTGTATTCTTAGGATATTAACTGGAAGAGCAACTGTGGCTCAGCTGCTCTGTATTGCTCTGCAAATGTCCAGCCAATTAATAACAGTGGACAATATTTCATAATTGCTAGAGATGAACAACCAAGAGTAGTGTGGATTCTACTCAGATTTTAATCAATAAGATAAGGAGTTGACTATGGAACTTTCACTAAAATACAACACAGGTTAGTACACAAAGAAAGTCTTCAAAAATACAGGAAAACTGAAATAATTCCTTGTGTTCTGTCTTATCACAGTAGACTAACACTATACACCAACATCAAGGAAACTCTAGAACACACACAGACATGACTACAGAGTGATGAATGGTCCTTGACTCTTTCTGAGAAAAAGCGATTGCTCAGTGGTTAAGCACACCCTGTCTTCCTCCCACTTCTAATCTTGTGCTTTTGCAAGAGGACCTGAGTTCAGTTCCCAGGACTCATATCAGGTGGCTCATAACCACCTGTAACTCCAGCCTCAGGGAATCAGACAGCCTCTTCTGGCCTCTGGTGATACTACACCAATGTGAACATATACAGATAATTTAAAAATTTTAAAGCTGACTTATAACAGATTAAAAGCAGGAGAGGATGGGGCTGGAGAGATGGCTCAGTGGTTAAGAGTACTGTCTGCTCTTCCAGAGGATCTGAGTTCAATTCCCAGCAACCACATGGTGGCTCATAACCAATACTGGGATCTGATGCCTCCTCTGTCATCTGTGTGTACATCAGATGAAGCACTTATGCATAAATAAACAAAAAATTTAAAATGCTTTTAAAAAGCAGGAGAAGAGAGTAGGTAAGGATAAGCCTTTGAAAATAATTGATGTAAGTAAAGTAGCTGGGAGGGAGAAATTGGGATTGTTAAATCTATGGAAGACTACAATTATGATGTACAATGAGAGGATACAGATAAAAGGAAGAGGAAGTGAACTAAGAGGGGAGTTTAATGTCCTACTCTATGGCCTGGCAAGGCTTCCCCTCCCTCAGAGGGGGTGTCAAAGATCCAGCCACTGAGTTCATGTCAGAGACAGTCCCTCTTCCCCTTACTAGGGAACCCACTTGGATACTGAGCTTCCATGAGCTACATCTGAGCAGGGGTTCTAGGTTATATCCATGAATGTACGTTGGTTGCAGTATATCAGTCTCAGAAAATACCCGAGCCCAGATATTTTGGTTCTGTTGCTCTCCTTGTGGAGCCCCTGTACTCTCCAGGTCTTACCAACTACCTCTTCTTTCCTATGGTTCCCTGCACTCTGCCCAAAGTTTGGTTATGAGTCTCAGCATCTGCTTTGATACACAGCTAGGTAGAGTCTTTCAGAGGCCCTCTATGGTAGGATCCTGTCCTGTTTCTTGTTTTCTCCTTCTTCCAATGTCCATCCCCTTTGTCTTTCTAAGTGAGGATTGCTCCTCTTGCTCCAGGTCCTCCTGCTTGTTTAGCTTCTTTAGGTATACAGATTTTAGTGTGTTTATCCTATCTTACAGATCTAGTATCCACTTATAAGTGAGTATATACCGTGTGTGTCTTTCTGCTTCTGGGATACCTCACTCAGGATGATCTTTTCTAGATCCCACCATTTGCCTGAAAATTTCATGGTTTTCTTTGTTTTTAATTGCTGAGTAGTATTCCATTGTGTAAATGTACCGCAATTTCTGTATCCATTCCTCCATTGATGGACATCTGGGTTGTTTCCAGGTTCTAGCTATTACAAATAAAGCTGCTACAAACATGGTTGAAAAAATGTCCTTGTTGTGTACTTCAGCATATTTTGGATATATGCCTAGTAGTGGTATACCTGGATGTCAAGAAAGCACTATTCCTAATTGTCTGAGAAAGCGCCAGATTGATTTCCAAAGTGTTTGTACAAGTTTACATCCTTACCAGCAGTGGAGGAGGGTTCCCCTTTCTCCACATCCTCTCCAGCATGTATTGTCACTTGAGTTTTTGATCTTAGCCATTCTGATGGGTGTTAGATAAAATCTCGGGATTGTTTTGATTTGCATCTCCCTGATGGCTAAGGACATTGAGCATTTCTTTGAGTATTTCTCTGTCATTCTATGTTCCTCTGCAGAGGATTCTCTGTTTAGCTCCATACCCCATTTTTTAAATTAGATTGCTTGATTTGTTGTTTTTTAACTTCTTTAGTTCTTTATATATTCTGGATATAGCTCTCTGTCAGATATGGGGTTGGTGAAGATCCTTTCCTAGTCTGTAGGCTGTTGTTTTGTTCTGACGATGGTGTCTTTTGCTTTACAGAAGATTTTCAGTTTCATGAGGTCCCATTTATTGATTGTTGATCTTAGAGCCTGTGCTGTTTGTGTTCTGTTCAGGAAGTTGTCTCCTGTGCCAATGAGTTCTAGGCTCTTCCCCACTTTGTCTTCTAACCAATTTAGTGTGTCTGGTTTCATGTTGAGGCCTTTTATCCACTTGGACTTTAGTTTTGTGCAGGGTAATAAATATGGATCTATTTTCATTTTTCTGCATGTAGATACCCATTTGGACCAGCACCATTTGTAAGGAGGATATTGCAGCCAGTCCTGATGAGACCTGATAAGCTAGGGTCAGATGGAAGGGGAGGTGGACCTCCCCTATCAGTGGACTTGGAGAGGGACATGGGAGAAGATGAGGGAGGGAGGGAGAATGGGATTGGGAGGGAATGAGGGAGGGGCTACAGCTGGGATACAAAGGGAATAAAATTTAATTAATGTAAAAAAAAAAACAAAATTCTTAAGAAAAGAGGGGAGTTTAAGAGATACAGGTGAAGAGCATAGTAAAGTGCCTTGGAGTAAACTGAGTAAGAAGTATATACAACAGTCCTAAAACCTAACTGAGCAATGCACACAAAAGCAAAACCATCCCAAGACATACATGCAAGAGTGAGAAAGTAAGAAATAAGAGTCCTCACTGGAAGCAGTGGCACATGCCTGTAATCTCAGCACTCAGGGAGGCAAAGGCAGATGGATCACTGTGAGTTTGAGGTCAGCCTGGTCTATAAAGCGAGTCCAGGACACCCAAGACCACACAGAGAAACCCTGTCTTGAAAAACTAAAAAAATGAAAGAGAGAGAGAGAAAAGAAAAAAAGGAAGGAAGGAAGGAAGGAAGGAAGGAAGGAAGGAAGGAAGGAAGGAAGGAAGGAAGGAAGGAAGTTTCATGGAGTGAATTCCTTGCAAAACTGTGCTGAGTTAAAAATGAAGTTCTCACACCCTGTGACTCTAGCAGTTCCATGTGGTGCTTTGGGCGTTTGGGAGTATTGGTCTCTGCAGCTTCTGTGTTAGTGGGGTTCTGGCTTGTGGAGAGGGGATGTTTTAAGTCCTTTTCTGGTAGCATACCCCTACACTCCACTGAGGCCTCCTTTGGTCCTGAAAGTTGGGTGTGTGAGCAGCAGCGCTTCTCTTGAAGTTTCTGCTGCTTCTAGTGTGGATATTTCTGATCTCCATTCTTACTGGTGTGAAATCTCGCCCTTTGTTTTGCAGCTCAAGTTTAATTTCAGTGTAACGGTGAATGGGATCCTCTCTACAGAGATCTTTGGGTCTGTAAGCGATTTTATGGCTCTGAATGATCTTTAAGCATTATTGCCCTGTGTTTCCAATAGATTTACAATTTGATTTTTTTTTTAGTCCAAAATCTCTTTGAAACTAATCCTGAGACCCTTGCATTTTCTTATTCTATATTAGCTTTTAACAAATAAATATGTTCTTCTAAATATTACATATTTCTTCCCTTCATTGAGGGGAATGAGCTCAAAGGCTGTGTTTTTCCTTTTGGTTCTGGTTGCTGAATTCCAGTTATCTCTGGGTGGTAGTAGTCATGAGTCAAATAGAGATTGATTTGAGAAATGACTTAGATTTTGTTTTGCTTTGCAGGGCAGAGAATGAACCTACTTTGAGACTGTCCAGTGGAATCACTCTTGTTGTGGGCTTTCAGCATTATGTGAGGTGAAAGCAAAATTTCATTGTCCCTTTCTACTTTTCTCTGTTTTGAGTATGAATATTGGTAGAAGCTAGAAATGGTCTCTTTACCTTTTCCTTTTTCCTCCCTCCCTCTCCTCTCTTCCACTTCCCTTCCTCTTCTTTCTTCTTTTCTTATATCTCTTTTGTTGGGTACAGAAGTGTTGGGAGGTAAACAGATCTACTGCCTTCTTTGTTGGGGAGAATGAGAACCTAATTTTCCTCATTGCTCCTACCTAACCGCAACATCAGAGCTAGGCAAATGTACACGTAGATTCTCAAGTGTCAGGGGCACTCTCAGGCCACCTGCTCACAGTTGCCACACATAGTGCTGTCTTTGAATGATTTTGGAAGCACGTGCCTGGAACCATAGAGCATAATTGTAATACAATTTGAGAACAAGAGACTATCATGAGAGACAACAAAAGGAGAAGCCAAAATAGAATCTTTGGAATGCCCGTTTTCCCAACCTTATGCAGATAAAATGGGCTATTTATCCTGAGAAGTTAAAGAATTTTAAATGCTCATTAAATAATTTTTTTTGAAGGAAAAAGTCAAATTTGTATGTTTTTTTGTTTGTTTGTTTGGTTGGTTGGTTGGTTGGGGGTTTTCAAGACAGGGTTTCTCTATAGCTGTGGCTGTCCTGAAGCTCCTCTCTAGACCATTCTGGCTTCGAATGTACAGAAATCCACCTGCCTCTGCCCCCTGAGTGCTGGAATTAAAGGTGTGCACCACCACTTCCTGGATAATTTATATGTTTTTTTTTAATAGTATACCAAAATTCAATTCAACTGAATCACACTGCATCAGAATCCACCCTGTGCTAGGACATCCAGCACCCCTGTCCATCCCTGACAATATGGCTGACACGGACTTGTTGGGAGAACTGACTCTGACCCCAGCTGCTGCTCTGTGCCCCAGCCCCAAGGTCTTTACCAGCCAACTGAAAAGGATTTCTTCAGTCTCCATATCCTTTTGACAGGTTCTAGCCTTCTTGCCTTTGAAGATAAATTTTTTTTAATTCTAATTTTAGGAATGTCTTTATATATACATTATTTATCAAGAACCCTGTATAATTTGTAATATGAATGCTAGGCTTGAAGTATTTGCCAGGAACTGAAAACTACAACAGATAGTGAAAGAGATGGGAGCAGGGAAAATGGTTGGAGTTGAGTGTGGTAGATCTTGCTCGCCTTACTAAGGAATGTGACCTTCATTTTCTCAAATCGAGTTCCAGGACAGCCAGAGCTGTCTCAAAACCCAACAACCAAAAAAGTGGGAATATTTACAGGACACAAAAATACTGTGTATTCAACTAGATAAACTTAATAATTCAGTACTTAATAAATAATTACTTGGGAAGAAGAAAAGACTCAAAATAAGGAAAATTAATCAATGGACCAAATGATGATAGTACACAAAGACATTAAACAGGTACACGTGGCCAGGTGTAATGGCCACTTTTAGTACTTTTAGTACTTTTGAAGCAGGAGGATTTCCATGAGTTGAAGGCCATCCTGAATTTACATAAGTTGGGACCATGTCTCAAAACCAAAACAAAAAATGTCTTTATCAGCAAAACTGCTTGCTGTACAAGCACGAGGATCTGATTACCATCCTGTGTCCACATGGATGTGTGGTGCATGTGTGTAATCAGCACTGAGGATGTTGAGACAGGAAGATCCCTGGGGCTTGCTGGCCAGCCAAACACTGAGTCCACATTCCATAAGAGAACCTTCTCAAACAGAAAGACTGGGAGTGATTGAAAAAGACACCTAATATTGACTATTGACCCGTGGCTCCAACATGCACCCACACACATACACTTACATACATGAACATATATGTGTGTGTGTGTGTGTGTGTGTGTGTAGAAGAACAACTGAGCATGTTAAAGACAAGGAAAAACACGTATTTAAAAAAGATCTTAATTTTAGGTTGAAAATACACTGGATAAGATTAATGGCAGATTTACACATTGCAGAAGAAAAGTTGCATGAACTTGAAGACAGCAACAGAAACTACTTAAAATAAAACAACAAGATTTTAAATTTCACAAAGCAGCAGTGAACTTTGGGGTGGTTTCCTGTGCCTAATCTAGTGATGCATAATTGGAGTCCAGAAAGAAAGACAAGATGATCAAACGTTTGAAGAAATACTAGCTGCCAAATTTCCAAAATTGATGGACTGTAAGTCTGCAGATCCCATTGTCTGTGCACGCTTAATTGTAAAAAATAAAGAGAATTGTCTCAAAACACATTATAATCAAATTACTGAAAACAACAAGACACAGAACAGGGAACAGAGAAGGTAAATGTGGCAGCGACTTCTTCTTGGAAACATCTAGAAGAAAGTGGGTGGGTGTTTGGGGGGGGCTTGTTGTTGTTTGTTTATTTGTTTTTTCAGTTACTGAAAGGAAAGAAAAGAAAAAGCAATCCACACATGATTCTATACCCAGGGAAAATAGTTTTCAGAATAAAGGCAAGAGGCTGGGGATGTGATTATCAATAAATTGCTTTCCTGATGACCTGATTTCCAGCCCCAGAAACCATGTTTAAAAGCACACTCGCATGCGCGCGCGCGCACACACACACACACACACACACACACGCGCGCGCGCGGTTCAAGTACTAAGAAGACAAGAGCCAGGTGGGTCCTTGAGGCCCATGGGCTGGCCAGACTAGTCAGTTCTCAAAACAGCCGGTATCTGAGGAATAACAGCCACGACTGTTTTTTGACTACACTTGCACAAACATAAGTGCACCTGCACACATGAACACACAAAATGAAAACAAGAGCTAGCCGGTACTGATGGTTCATTCTTGTAATCACAGTACTCGGCAGACTGAGGCCAGAAGTTTAGACAGAAGTTTGAGGCCAGTTTAGGATACAGCGTGAAAACTTACCCAGAACTCCTCACCCCCAAACAAAAACCAGTGAATACAAGATTAAGCTTTTCAGGGATTCAAAAAGTCAAGAATTCACTAACAAGTGACATTATTTTTTAAATACTTAAGGAAATCCTTTGGAATTTCATTCTTGACAATTTCATACATGTATATATTATATCTTGATCCTATCCATCTCCAACTCTTTTTTTTTTTATGGCTATTGGAATGGTTACCTTTTGTTTTTATTGCTCAGTTCATGCTTGCTTTCATGTCACAGTTAAAACCACCTTGCTTCTGCTGACATTCAAGAATAACTATCTTCCATGATGAGATATTCAGTTAATATCTCATAAGAAAACTCCAGGTTCCAAGAATTGCTTGACCCTGATGCCTTTTTTTTTTTTTTTTTTAATTGGGAAAGTGGTTTCAAATAACCTCACTGGAGTTCAGATTGAAGGTAGTGGTCCAGCTGACACTTGAAACAATGATTTATAAATTTTTTTTTAACATTTAAAAAAAATTTTATTTATTACAATTTATTCACTTTGCGTCCCAGCTGTAGTAGCCTCCTCCCTCAGCCCCTCCCACACCTCTTACTTGATAACAATAACATGAAGCTGGTCAGGAAGAAATGGAAGTATATTGTTGGATTCGTGTGTGTGTGTGTGTGTGTGTGTGTGTGTGTGTGTGTGTGTGTGTG